TGATTGAGGACGGAGAATTGCTCCAAGCACATCAAGAGTAAGGGAGTGGGTGTGGCTATGAACAATGATGGGTGTGGTTTATTAATTAAGTGGGTGTGGTTACTGTGTTGTTATTAGGCTGGCAGAATTGGAACACACAAGGGATGAGCTGCTTATCCAGCTGCATCAGGGAAAAGACGCTTTTGTCGACAAAAACACCGTCAGTATCATTTAGTTTCAATTTGTTAATTTATTTATTTATTTTTAGTCGTTACATAGATACTTTGAGCCACTAACAGCCTTATCAGTAAGTCAATTGATGAATAATTAATTAATTAGTATTATTTTTATTAATAGGCTGCCCTTGGACAGCAGCTGTGGTTAGTTATGCGTGCAGTACCAGAAAATGTGGTGAGCTCACCAGCAACTGTTGTAACAGCACTCCGTATTGTACAGAGAGAAGAAAAGTAATACATTATTATTATTATTATTATTATTATTATTATTATTATTATTATTATTATTATTATTATTATTATTATTATTATCATTATTATTATTATTATTATTATTATTATTATTATTATTATTATTATTACTATTTAGGGCTGATCATTACATTGACGATAATTTAAGAGAGAGGGGCATCCCTTTGTCCCTAATTCCCGAACGGCCAAAGAAATGGAGAGAGAAATGTGTCCAGATAATGGAGTCATCAATAAATAACAAGTTTATTGATATCCGTCCTCAGTCTCAGTCAGTGGAAGAAAACAAAGAATGGCTCGACGACCTTTTAACTGAAGTAGCTACAGTTTGTTATCAAGTAAGTACTGTCATTGTTAGATCTAGAGAGAGTTTATAAGACTTAGTATCCCATATTTGGTCTTGGTCTCCTTAAATTTCCCATTTTTCCATTTTTTGTCTCTCAATTTAATGTAACTTAATGTTGACTTACTTGATGCTGTAGGATCTCAAGGCAATGAAAGAAAATGGCGTGAATTGCTTTCCTCCTGATTATGATATACTGGAAATGTACATTAAAGCTTATCATACCAACTTGAAGGAAGTGGTAAGCTTGTTGTTTTTATTTTTATTTATTTATTTATTTATTTTAAGGTGAAAGAGCTTATAGACAGAGAGCTTAATGCCAGAGACATTATCAAATTAATGGTGTGGGTTGGAGATGTGAGGTGTGTAAACATTAATTGAAATATTAATTATTAATTTAATCATTTAACAGACAGTCATTTCGTGACGTGTTAGAAATTGACTTGCAACAGTATGGCAAATTAATTGACGACAAAATTGAAGAATCACTAGAGAAAACGTAATTTATTCAATGGAAAAAAAATAGAACTAAAAAAAGATGATTATATATTTTATTTTATTTTATTTGTAGTTGTGTAGAGCAAGTTCAGTGGAATGTCAGCGAACTTGTTAAGAAGATGATACATTCTGAAGAAGAAGTAATAATGATATTTGATCGAATTCACAAATTTATTAATTAGTAGGAGTGGTCTGCTACGGACCCACCTGAGTCAGACAATAGCGGCTGTTTTTATACGACAGTCGGTATTTTACTGTACGAGATGATCGATCAAAATGTACTGCTATTAATTTATTATTATTATTATTATTATTATTATTAATGTCTAGATTGGTGCTCTCTCAATGTTGGGGGGGAATACAAAGGAGTTGCTGCTTCACGAATGTTTGAAACAAGTTTCTGTTTTTCAGCAGAAGTACAAAGGTACTCTTTTACTGCAAGACTAAATGTACATGTGTAATAGTAGCAAAAGTTGCTCCAAAATCAAGCTAAAGTCCCTGTACTATAGCCCATGGTTTTTTCCAAAAAATGGCTCCGAAATCACATCCCATTTTTATTACATTTTCTGATACATATTGATGTCCTTATGCTGTGTAGAAAGTTTGAGCTGATTCCGACTTCAATTTTTCAAGTTACGGCCATTTTAAGAAAACGTCAAAATTCTGAAAAATACCCAAGGCTATAGCCCATGGTTTTTTCCAAAAAATAGCTCCAAAATCACCCCCAATTTTTATTACATTTTCTGATACATATTGATGCCCTTATGCTGTGTAGCAAGTTTGAGCTGATTCTGACTTCAATTTTTTGAGTTACAGCCATTTTAAGAAAACATCAAAATTCTAAAAAATGCCCAAGGCTATAGCCCATGGTTTTTTCCAAAAAATGGCTCCGAAATCACTCCCCATTTTTATTACATTTCCTGATACATATTGATGTATGAAATCCTTTACTTTACATTACAGAAAGTGTCGATAGCAAATTCTCATCTTACTTATCATCTGGAAGGTCGGACCCGCCTCTTTATTTTGAATACATGGTAAGCATAATTATTAATTTACTATAATAATTAATTAATTACTTAATTATTAATTAATAGATAGCTGTAGCCAATAACTGTCACTCTTGCATTGAGTTTACCGAACGACTTAAAGTATGCAATTAATATTCATTACACTCGTTAATTAATTAACTGATATTAATTAACTGACATATAGAGCACAAGCGAAATTGACATGGGACGGTTAAAGAGTGAAATTGGGAAATTATTTGGAGACATCTGTGAAAAATATAAATCAGTTTCATTTCATTGGTACAGCTTAATTATCAACATTTTATTCATTATTATTATTATCATTATTATTATTATCATTATTATTATTAATAATTAGCTGTGATATATTAATCACAATAATGTTTGAAGATTTGTCTCCAGTACTTGATGGATTAATGACTAAAGAGCAATGGTAATGAATAATTAATTAATAGTTAATTAATTAATATTAATTGATTGTTATAGGTTAAATAAACCGATGGATTTAGTTGATAAAATTGAAGGAACAATTTTAGATTACAATTCTGATTTCGAGCGTTTGAAACAAAAGTAATTGTAAAAATAATGAAAAGCAATTACTTTGAATCATAATTTTAGCTGCCGCACATACGTAATTGTGCAAACTCAGCAGAGAATATTACGATTTTATTTTGAATCAATGATGAAGAAGTAAGTCATTAATTAATTGATGAATTAATTAATTAATTGAAATCGCAGGAAGATTGTACTTAAGAAGAAAGAAAATCGTGAAAAAGCTGCTTCATTTATTCGTGAAGAAAGCGAAAAACTCGGAACTCTGTTCATGAGACTGTCACATGCAACAACACCAAAAGTAACCATTTTATTCTTTTATTTATTAAATTTTATTAATTTATTTAGTATACAAAGATATTAAAGCAATTTGCTGAACTGATTTCATCAAATTTGGACACTGTGCCATTCATAATTGGAGTAAGTGATTGGTAGTAATAATAATAATAACAAGGAATTGCTCAATAATTAATAATAATTATTAATTAAAAGGGGTTATCCACTAATTATCCTGAAGTGAAGTTCCACCATGTGGTGGCAGTCCTTGCCATGAGAGGAGACCTGAACAAGACGAGCGTTCAAAAGGTACTTGTTCGCTAAATTTTAGTGTTTTATTGTTTTTCAATATTAGCTAATGGACAGGACTCCACTGACAATAGAGTCAGGCGATCAAGACAGAGAAATGTCACCAACAAGAGATTCGAAATCAATTTTATCTCAAATATCAGTCCACAATCCTTACGCTTTATTTTAATAAGTACAACAACAACAACAATATTAATAATAATAATATTATTATTATTATTATTATTATAAATTACGTAGACGTTTTTAGTAGATCTAGTATCCCTATATCTGTCATAATGTTTTAATATATGTTAGTAATCTTTAGTAAATCTTTAGTAATCTTCATCGTCTATGTCTGATATTGTTTCGGTCATTAGCACGTTTTCAGTTTCAATGTTATTTTGAGTATCTTTATTTTCTATCAAACGTGTTGCCGTCGTGGCGAATGTCAATGGAGTGCAGGCGAGAGTCCTCAAGTTAATTAATGCCAAACTATGGGTTGAATTGAAGGACGGGACACAAATCAGCAGAACCTTCTGACCATCATCACCTAAAGAATGGAATAACTGTAGCTACTGCAAAGTACTTGAATACATGAAATTGTAATCAGAAATGAAGCAGTGACTGTAACATATTATCAACCATGAATTCAATATGCAATATGATATAATTGTTTGGAGTCTTTTTTAGTGAAAAAAAGGATAAAGACTATCATTCATAGACATTAAAAGAAGCCTTGTGTGACCATACTAGTTAACCTGTTACTAATTTTGATTGGAATTTTGGTTGATTTCCAGCGAAATAAACATGAGGGCAGTCGTCCATTATAAAAGGATCAGCATTGGAGAATGGATAGCAACCTAACAAACAAACAAACAAATAAATAAATAAATAAAGAAATTGTTACATAGTATATCAGGAGCAGTTGGTGCAACGTGTGATGACATTAAAGTCAGTTCCAGTAATTCTAAACTGTCCATTCCAATAGTACAGCAACTCATGCTCTCAATATTCTCACCACAGGTACCAATAAACCTATTAATAGTAACATCATAATCACATTGTTACTATTAATAGTATCATTACTTGTGTCCTTCTATTGTACAGGAGTACGGGTTAGTGACGCTTTTAAAATTGTCATATTTTGCCGACTTGGGAAACATGCAGTGATGTAATGGTTGCTGTGGTAACTGTTTGTTGGCAGGGTCGTAAGTCCCAGGCATGAGAGCTACAGGGACACTGCTCTAAAGTAATAAAAATTATTATTATTATTATTATTATTATTATTATTATTATTATTTAAAAATTGGATTAATTTACCGATAACTGGGATAATGTTACGTCTAGTTCTTCCACTGACTGTATTGAGTGTGCACAATAATTCTTTGCTGAATATTTAACCTTTTCAATATCGTTAATAATAATAATAACGATTCTACTATTATGTTGCTCTGTTACTTTATCACTTGATTTGTTGCTCTGAACACTTCCAATGGAGTTTCCTGCAATTATAACCTTAACTATATTAGAAAGCATATCATTGTCCTAAAATAATAATAATAATTTATTTATTTTTATTATTATTATTATTATTACATGGACTCCGCCCAGCTGTCCTGTTAAATAATCCACCAATTGCTGTATAGCCCATTGATCTGACCAATCAGATCCAACCATCAATCCTGACACAATCGCAACATACCTATCATAAATTGATCGATTTTATTAAAAATAATAAAAGACTATTTCCTTTATTTTATACCCTACCTGTCATTATTCAGTGAAGGTAAAGGATCATTTTTTAGCGGCATCCCTGGTAGACAGTAATCGGATACTTCGAAATTCCCGTCAGCATTTTGTACTCCTTTAACAGCAACTATCATACCTATACAACCAACAATCCAATCACTTCACAGTATCAGAATATGTAGATATACACAGTATCAGAATATGTGGATATACACAGCATCAGAATATGCATATGTACCTGTGGTTAGTGCAGTGTTGTCACTAAGATTAGAGAGAATGACACGTTGCGAATAATCCTCAAGGAATATTTTATCAGTACTAGAAGACAGTTTCCCTTTTGGAGGATACGGCAATAGTCGTTGCTATTGGATAAGACAATGATATTATTTTTAATGCATAAAACAAGTATTATTATTATTATTATTATTAAAATATATTATTATTAATATTTTACGTTGTCACTGATTTGTTTTATAGTTGAAGGTCTTAGACTCATTTCCTTGAAGAGTGTCCCAATCACAACACATGCAAGTCCTGGCTCAAGATCTTTCAGATTTCTGAACACAGTATCACTCCCTGTAGTGTAGTGTAGTGTAGCAGTATGTGGATAAAAGTGACTCCCTTTCTTCTTACCCCATTTCCTTTGAGCTGATTTCATACTCACGTCCTTCATTTCGTGGAGTCTCGTGTAGTAGATCTGATTGTACTGTATGCCGTCTCTCCTTATTGGTGGAGTGATGAATTTCGAGGAGTCGTTTGTAACAGTGCAACTTGGCCTTACCAAAGCTGCAGCCATTTTTATAACAAATTTTATTTTGGATTTGAAGGGGGTGTGAGACAGTATAGAATTAATTTTGATGAAAAGCAAGCAGCATCAGCTCTGTAATAGCAATGATAGCGATAAAAATAATAGCAGCAATGTTCATTGTTTTAGTTATTTAGAGACTGGCTCCACACGATACATAGCCACTCCATGACTTGGTATTGCTTTAGCTGTAACTGATCCAGTGAACTTACCAATCATCTTACTACCATCCCATAAATCAAACACATTAGCAGACTATGAATGAAAATAAAAATAACCAAATTAATATTGATTCTACTTACAGCAGAGCTAGGGAACCCAATATCAGTCCATTGTATAGTAATGTCAGTAGCTGAGTCTCCTCTATTGACTGCTAGTGCTACTCTTGTACCATTCTTCAGTGGTACTTGCCATACTTCACTAGTACCATCCTGCTTTGTCCTGTTTCCTTGAATACCAAGAGGATCTTGACTGACACCAATGACACAATCATTAGTAAGAATGCTAAGAGCATCATCACTAATTTTAG